AAAAAATTTATTTGATTTGTCTACCTATATTGTAATATAGAACTAAATATTTATTTATAAAAAAGGAAATATGCTAAGTATTTATTTATTTACTAGAGATATAATTTTATTTCTCACTATTTGGATTATTTTAAACTTGCATTAATATAATAACTAGCATATCTTGATCAAGCATAAATTTTGATGGATAATTTTATCTTTAACTAAGCTAATGCATGCATTAAAACCAATTGCATTGCTAATACCATGGTTTTCTATGCATTAGTTATGCATAGGATAATATCAAATAGGATGTATAACTAATACATATGTTTAAAATGTCTACCAAACAAGGTATTATTAATACACAAAGCTAATGCATGCATTATTTTATATAATGCATCCTACCATACGACCCCTTAGAGTTACAAGCTCAAAAACTAAGGACAGGTAGTCCTTAACTTAGACTCACAAGCTCATAAATTAAGGACAGCTAATCCTGAACTTACAATAACAAGCTTATAAGTTAAGGACACTTGGTCCTGAACTTAGAGTTGGAAGTTCAAAACTTAAGGACACTTGGTCCTTAACTTAAAGTTACAAGCACAGAAATTAAGGTCAGGTAGTCCTTAACTTATAGTTACAAGCACAGAAATTAAGGACAGGTAATCCTGAACTTCGAGTTCCAAGTTCAAAAGTTAAGGACATGTAGTCCTGAATTTAGAGTTACAAATTCAAAAGTTAAGGACAAGTAGTCCTAAACTTAGACTTACTAGCTCATAAATTAAGGACATCTAGTCCTGAACTTACAGTAACAAGCTCATAAGTTAAGGACACTTGGTCCTGAACTTTATGAGCAGAAGGGTATTTTCGTCCGGGCAGGTAAAGTTTATTAAAGCAGTGGCTAAAGACTAAAGACATTTTAAACAGTGGCTTAAAAGTAAATACATATCTTATTAGTGGCTAACTTGCTCTTCCCCCTCAAGATTAGCATAATATTGACATAGTATTGTACTATGAAATTCCTAAAGATATTAATTTTTGTTTGTATAAAGAAATAGGACTCCCAAGGTTGATAACAAGCAATTGAATGTTTATTTTACAAAAGCTTCTTCGCCTAATTTATGTCACACATAATGCTTTAAACGGTAATTTACTTGTGATATTAGTTTAATTAATTTCACTATAAAATCTCGCGTAAGATAATACAATATTAGTTGGTCTCATATAAAAAAAGCCACTGCATTAATACAATATTTGGTCGGTGTATTACATAATATATACACGTATTTAGTAATGCTGGAGTTTATATATTTATTTCATGTAAGATAGATTATAAACTAAACTAAGAATACGTATATTAACAATGCGAGGATTAAAATATAAAAATATAAATATCATTCTTAAGTAAATACTTCATAATATAATAATATCTTTATTATATCATATAAATGATTATTGTATTATAGTTTTCGCATAACTATTTATAAGTGAACCAAACCATCGGTTAAAAGTTTTCGATGTGGATTTTTTTTTTTTTTGCTGAATAAGATGCAGATTCTATTGAAAGAAGATAGGAGTAATTAACTGGGATTATTACAAAATAGTCCCATAGAGGTCATTACGAAAAGTAGATAAAGCATGAAAATGAGGAAATATTCAAAATAGTGTATCCATTCCAAGCCCAAACATGATTACTAGTGCATCTGCTACCTTATTTACCTCCCTATATATACGTGCGACATAGAAGTGCAATCTATAACGTCAAGTAGAAACCTGCAATCATTCAATAAATATAAAAATTGACACAATTTTAAAAGAGATGGTAATTAATGTGGTGAACCGGTACCTGAGAATCTATTTCTATTGTCAGAACGTTATATTAGATAGACATTGGGTTAGGAATAATAATATGTATATGGTCATAATCAGTAAAGGTGCAAATAGAAGAAAGAGAGGGAATAAAGGAACGGAAGTTGCCTAAACAATTCAAGAAAATCATGGGTGGACTGGATGCTAATGTTGCTTTTATAAGAGAATCAGATTTCATTCCAAACTCCTAAAAGGGTCTCATCTTGGATACACATGACTAAAAAGTTAATACTAATTTCTTTTTCATATTTTAAGGAGGAATCACCAATCCCATCATCACTTCTCTTTACTCCGAGTGGAAATCATCATTCACTAATGTGTTGATGACTTGATTCCAGAATACATCCATTGCTTCATTAATTATATGTTCAGATGATCGAGTAATCTTTATATTCTTTTTCCGCAAGTATATCCAAATGCTCTTTCTACATATTTTAAACTTTTATTATAATTAGAGGAAATGCATTAATTGGATGAAACTCAACTCTTTGCTTTAGTTCTAATTTATTGTTTGTTTTTTTATCTTTCCAGTTAGAGTAAGTCAAGTGAAAATACAATGTATATTGCTATACGCACTATTACTATGTGACCTCGGGTTGAGAAAATGTAATAATATAATTTTATTGCTTAACTGAACTCAATAGACATATATATTGCACAACCCCTTAAAAAATTTTAAAATACTAAATGAACAACTTTACATTTGAAATTATAACGTATCCCAACTAAAAAAATTCAAAAGTAAATTAATCAAATTTAATTTTAAAATTGCATCCGCTTACTATAGAGAAAGAGGGAGCATATAATACAGCGAAGGAATTTTCAAGAGATTACCCCTTGGTCATCAATGGCGGAACCACATGCAGTGAAGGGGTGTCAGCCGTGTAGCTAGGTTATTTTAAAAAAATAAATGTATATATACTATGTTTTGACACCCCTTGACTTCTTGGTGAGTTTATTCCTTTATATTTTGACTTCCCTTAATAAAATTTTTGGCTCTGCCACTCCTGGTCGGTCATGTACAGGGTCCCTCTCAGTAACATCTTATTAGGCGTTTCTTGTTCTCTCTCTTATTACGCGGTTTCTTCTGCTAAAATAACCTTTGGTGCTCTTAAAATAGTACAGTTCTCCACATTACATTACATTACATTAATGGAGTATAACAAACGACCGTTCCATTAAACTGTGAGTTGGGACATGGATTCTTAGGCCAGCACGCTGGAAATGTCACGTGTGCGTCCACAGGTGCATAGGTAAAAGCGAGGTTAAATTTAATCCCGTGTGGCCTTTCAGTTCCTGTGAGTCGAAAAAACAACTTCTGCTTTTTCCGATCCGAAAATCCAAATTATGAAATTCAGCTAAAACGCGTAAAACGTCCGGTCGAAGTGGAGTTAAAAAACAAACAATATGTAGCTCCAAATTTAATTGGTGTGTCTGTGTTGGCTCAATGTAACACTTGTCAATATACTCGCTTTCATGAATAGAACTGAGTGCAAAGACACACTTATTCTGATGTTGGCCTGGCTGACACGTGATCATCACCTCCTCTCAGTCTCTACCTTCAAACTAATGCATGCCTTTTCTCTGCCTCGTCACCTCTTGCATCACTCTCAGTTTTCATCCTCCAATGCGCGTGCTTTCAATTACTTACATCAATTTCAATTTTCACTACACTAGTCGGAAGCAATTATTAACACTCGCATTATGATAATCTGTCCTAGTAAGGGTGTCTAATGAGTGGGCCGGGCCGGGCTGGATAAGGAAAAGTTGAAACCGTCCGGTTTTGAACCGGGCCGGTTATGGGTTAGGGGTTATCGGGCTTAACGGGTTTGAGTTTATTCGGATAAAAAATGAATCGTAAGGATTACGGGTCCAAAGGGCCGGGCCGAGTTAGTGTTTTTTTTTTTTGTATTTTGTATAATTATTGTAATTTATATTAATATAAATTAAATATATAAAGTATACAATGAAGATGGAAAAAATTGCACTTATAAATTGCAAGTGCTATATTTATTTCAAAATTCAAACTTACAAATTGAAAGGTTTACATTTAACAAGTAAATTAAGGAAAAAAAAGTAAATTCAAAGGTTTTGCATTGCCTTAGACTCTAAAACCTTAAAAAAATATAATTGAAATCTAGCTTTAAACCGGTCCGGGCCTAACCGGTTCTACATGGATTTTGGTTGACCGGATTTGACCAGTCCGATTAACCGGATGAATTAAATGAACGGACTAACCCCCTAACCCCAGTAACCCAACCCATCCGGCCCCCTAAGTACCGGGCCTGTTCGGTCCAGGTTTCAACTGGTCTGGACCGTGCCGTGTCGGGTCAACCCGGCCTGTTTGACCCCTCTGGTCCTATATCACACTCGCTGCCTTTTCGTACTTGTGTAAACATCTTATGCACCGAAGTGCGTGCCCTTTAAAGCGTGTGCTTTTAAGCACTTATCCTTTTTAGATTTCCTTTTCAAATTTATACTGAAAATACTAATGGTGATAAACATTTAAGTCATAAGGGTTCTATTTAATCCGAGGATTAAGAAATATTATCTCTACATACAAAGATGGTGGTCTTTTTTGTCTTAGTTTGATTAGGCACAAATTTTAATAAAAATTTAATATATGATTTTAAATAAGTCATAGCATTTATGTGGCTGTAAATTTTTTTAAAACACATAATCTTCCACTTGCCAGAGCATTTATGCGTTTTTTTAAACAGAATAATAAGAAAATAATATTAATATTTTTAAAATAGAGGGAGTAGTATAATAAATCAGCATTTAACAATAGAGCCTCCATAATTGGCACTTGGAAGCAAATTTTCTTTTCTTGCAATTAAAACTCATTAATCCAATTAATTTATCGGGTTGCATAGTAGCATAAAAAAAGAAATCATTCTATATATCAGAAGTTTCTCCATTTTAATTAAAGGTAGAGAAATTTCATTATCTTTTCCTTATTGACAAAGCAATAATCACCCATTGGGGGACCTAACTGATAAAAACGAAAATCGTGTTGTACACACAGCAAAAGAGCGCGTGATTGTATTCATAAAGCGTTGAAAGAGAGAGGAAGATTCTGCCATAGTTGAATCCAGTGGTCGGCAAAACCAACCGTTAAAATCAAACCCTCAGTGCTTCAACTCTTTCAATACTTCAAACCGTACCTTAATCAAAGGTCAGCGGTCCTGTTGGAATTGGAGTCTAAGTCTAACCTTCGTTCCACCTCCTCCTTTATTTTATTATAAGTAGAAGCAAGTTCACATTTTGGCTCAATTATTCTTTCTAATTTTCATTCTCACTGCCACATAAATTTCTCCAAATATTCATATCAATAAACAAATTCAAGCAGTTTCTTTTAGACCTAAGCTCAAGAATTTTTGAGTTTCCCTTTTGCTTCCGCAGATTTTACCAGGTAATTTCTCATCCTCCAATTGCACTGCTGTTCCTTTTTATTTGTCTTTCCCAATTCGATTTCCTTTCTGGTTTTTCTCTGCAATCAAACAGACTGATTTATGATGTGTATTCTCATGTTTCGGTCCTTTAGACTATATAATATAAAAGGGGTGGATAAATTGAAACGGGAAACTAGGCGCATATATTTCTGTTCCTGAATTGTCATTGGCAGAATGAACAAATAAATAATTTTGTTACATAAATACGCTTCTTGATGTGTTTACAGTTGTGCACATGCTAGCTTGAATACATAATGAATTTCTTATATGTTAGTTGAATGACATGTATATTGTAGCTTAACAAGGTTCCCCTGCTAACAAGTTTTTATCTTAGTTTATTAGATATAAAGTCATAAATGAAAACTTTCAGCTTCTTTCCAATAGTAGCTCGTATTAGGTTTGGCGTAACTTTTAAGGTTGTCTTGGAACAACAGTAAAATTGTCTTAGGTAGACTGCCTACATTACTCCCTCTGGGTGCGGCCTTTTCCAGACCCTACGTGAAAGAGTGATGTTTTCATGCATCGGGCTATCCTTTTATGATAGAGGTGTGCGAGCTATCTTGTCCGCACCATGACTATCAGAACTTTTAAGGTCCTTTTTGGAGGAGAGTGGATGTGGAGGTTGTGGTAGGGTAGAAAATGTGTTGTATCTAATTTTTTATGTCTTCAAGAGATATAGAGGAGTTGCTTTTTAAAGCCATAGCTGGTTTACATAATACAAATTTAATGTATGCACAACTATTAGGACTGATGTGAGAGTTGACAGTAGATGGGCATTTCAATTTTTTATTTCTTGTTTTCTTTCTGTCATGTTATAAAAATCATAAGGTGCATGATTATATCCATATTTAAGATGTATTTGGTCTGGTTGTCAACTTGTGATTTCAATCTAAATGTTGCTAGACTAAAAATGTTCTTACTTGACAAGACGGTGTTGCATCTCATTTTCTGTATACTATTGTTAATTTCACATGATAGATAGATTATCATTTTTTTTTTGCCTTGTGATATCATGCAACGTGCAACGGTTGTGCTCCGTGTTCTTGAATCTGTAATTTCTGCGCGTCTAAGTCATTAGAAAACTCTGTTTTCCCATCAACAAGGGTTGCCAAACTAATGTATACTTGTTTGTGTACCTTTTGCAGGTTGATTTGTTAACAGATACTAAGTGTTAAAAGTGTTCGGACAGGGAATAATTTATGCTTAGATCAGCTAATGATAGCCATATAGCATGGAATCACACCATCTGTATGAATATGGTGTGACTGGTGCGAATTTATCATACTCTTACTCTAAGGCTACTACTCCTTCATTGCCTAATAGGCTGTTGGGAACATTGAAATTTGACTCGAGAAATTCTCCAAACTCTCCATTTGTAAACTATTTTGATCCTGATACTCCTACCACACTAAGTGATAGCCTGGAGCAGCACAGCTCTACTGAAAATATTTCAGGAACTAGTCCTTCTAGTAATTCCTCACTGGATTATAATCATTATTTCCATCGCCCTAGCCCCTCTCCAAATTTCCACCCAAACACTCTACTGGTTCGCTCTGGCGAAACTTCTTTACTGCAGTATGCAAACCACAGTCAGAACATGAAAAATGCTCTGCTGCAATTGGAAACTGCTTTAATGGGGCCAGAGGAAGAAACCACAACATCCAGTCCCTCGGCAGGGGATATTAAGCAGCCCCAAACATCAGGTCAGAGGTCCTGGATGTGGAACCAAGAAGACCAGATTTCGCTTCGATTTGAAACACAGCCGTCACATGTCTCCGCCTTTGGCATATCAAGCAGTGGGATTCACAGTGAGAAGCGGCACAAAGCAACGGAGGATTTGTCATTGCGGGGAATTCCTTCTGGCAACCTAAAGCAGCTGCTTATAGCATGTGCCAGAGCTCTTGCCGAGAACAAATTAGATGATTTTGGATCACTGATTGCGAAGGCAAGAAATGCTATTTCCATTACTGGAGATCCGATTCAACGTCTCGGTGCTTACATGGTAGAAGGGCTAGTAGCTCGAAAAGAAGCATCCGGAACCAACATTTACAGAGCTCTGAGGTGTAAGGAACCAGCTGGCAGGGACTTGCTTTCTTACATGCATATCCTATATGAGATATGTCCTTATCTAAAGTTTGGTTACATGGCTGCAAATGGTGCAATAGCAGAAGCATGCAGAAATGAAGATCGCATTCACATCATAGATTTCCAAATTGCGCAAGGGACTCAGTGGATGACTCTTCTTCAAGCTCTTGCTGCCAGGCCTAGCGGTGCCCCTCATGTACGTATTACTGGGATTGATGATCCAGTTTCAAAATATGCCCGGGGAGATGGATTGGCATTAGTGGGGAAACGGCTCACAGATATTTCTGAGAAATTCAACATTCCGGTTGAGTTTCATGCAGTGCCAGTTTTCGCTCCTGAAGTCACCAGGGATATGCTTGACGTTAGGCCTGGCGAGGCTCTGGCAGTAAACTTCCCTTTGGTACTTCACCACACACCTGATGAGAGTGTTGACGTGACTAACCCAAGGGACGAGCTTCTTAGGATGGTAAAGTCGCTTTCTCCCAAGGTGGTCACTTTGGTGGAACAAGAATCAAATACAAACACAGCTCCTTTTTTCCCGCGATTTTTAGAAGCTCTAGACTACTACTGTGCCATGTTCGAGTCCATAGACGTGACCCTAGAAAGGGACAGGAAGGAGCGGATAAACGTGGAGCAGCATTGTCTGGCTAGGGATATAGTTAACGTCATAGCATGCGAGGGCAAGGAAAGGGTGGAACGTCATGAGTTATTAGGCAAATGGAAATTGAGGTTCACAATGGCAGGGTTCAGGCAATATCCTCTGAGCTCGTACGTGAATTCAGTGATAAAGAGGCTCTTGAGGTGCTACTCAGAGCATTATACGCTAGTGGAGAAAGATGGCGCTATGTTGTTGGGATGGAAGGACAGGAATCTTATCTCAGCATCTGCTTGGCACTGAGAATGAAGCAAATTTATGTAAAGCAGAGGAAGAGCTATTTCTAGCAAGTAACAGTTTGTAGTAACATTATGTGGGAAACAGATGAAATAGCCTTTCTGGCATGTCATGTGGTTTCAATGTAGCGATAGATAATTTCATGTATCACAAACTATTGTTTAGAGTAGGTATCTTTCATTTTGTTCGTTGGCTTATCCCTTAGTTTAGAAATTTTCTTGCGGAATCTTTAGGAAATTAATTTCAAGTATTCACAAACTATTGTGTTTATAGATAACTTTTCATTTTGTTCATTAGCTCTTGTTCCTTAGTTTGGAAGTTGCACCAAATTTTGTAAGGGCATTTGTATCTATACTCGCTTTTTGGGACATCTTTTAGTTTATACCCGCTTTCCAAAAAAAATTGCAAGCGTAAGGATTTCCCGTCCTCGGAAGTCGTGATGGCGCCTACTCGTAGAAGCTAGGCAAGCCACGAAATTTAGAAATCTTTAACCTTTTTATTTTTAACACTTTTAACTATTTGTAACAACATGTGATCAACATTTAACTAATAGCGAAAGATGGATTTAAGCGGAAGACTTAGATAAACATAATACCAAAAACGATACGAAAAGCCAACATGTCTCTACCCAGAAACCGGTGTCACAACATTCACGGACTGTCTATGATTACTACATACAAATGTCTGAAAGAAAGAAGCTCAGTTTGTCTCGGATACAAATGATAACAGAACATAATAGTAGATAGAAGAGACGCCGGGCCTGCGGACCCCTGCAGCACTACCTCGGGATCTCTGGACTGAAGGCTGGCTCCCAAGCTACTGCTGTTGTCCCACTACTGCTTCGATATCTGCACAGAGTGCAGAGTGTAGCATCAGCACAACCGACCCCATGTGCTGGTAAGTGCCTGGCCTAACCCCGATGAGGTAGTGATGAGGCTAGGACCAGACTCCAGATAAACCTGTGCAGTTTTATATATATATATATATATATATATATATATATATATATATATATATATATATATATATATATATATATATATATATATATAGCGAAAAAATAAACTAGAACAAACAATTAAAGCTGGGAAGGGAAAACATGCTTCGGGGAATAACAGATAAAAAAGAATCTCAAGAGAATTATCAAGAAAGCAAAATTTAACTTCTAACAAGAATAAGGAAAAACAAAGGTAGATTTCACTCTCGGTCCACATCTCGTTGCAGGCGTGCAACCCGATCCCATTTCTCATATCTTGTGGTAGGCGTACCACCTGCTCCCATTTCACTACATCTCGTGGTAGGCGTACCACCCGATCGCATTTCATCATATCTCGTGGTAGGCGCACCACCCGATCCCATTTATAAGCCAACAAAAAATCACAAGGAGTCCCGACAAGGGAACAAAGCAATGTAATAACTTCCCGGCAAGGGAACAAAGCAATATAATAACTTCCCGGCAAGAGGACAATAATATCAAGACAAACATCCCGGCAAGGGAGAATCAACTATAACCAATCCTAACTCAACTCCTACTCAGCTCAATTAGATCCAACACTCAATCATAAATAAAATCCACGAAAATAAACTAAATCTTTGCTCAATATCGCGAATCATCAATTATAACATCCGTAGTAACATTTAAGAACACAATAACTATCAATTCAAGACTCACGGTCATGCTTGACACCAACGTATAGATACTCGTCACCATGCCTATACGTCGTACTTAACAAGAAGTAATTAGCAAATAGGACACAACTCCTAATCCCTCAAGCTAAGGTTAGACTAGACACTTACCTCGAACTTCCACGGCCAACTCACTCCTCAAATACCGCCTTTCCTTTCGAATTTGGCTCCAACACAATCGTATCTATACATAATCGACTTAATAACATCAATAAATACTAAACAATCCAATTCCAATGCTTAATTATAGCTTTTTAATCATTCTTCTCAAAATCCCAAAAAATTGACCCGGGGCCCGCTTGGTCAAAACACGAGGTTCGGACCAAAACCCGATCACCCATTCACCCACGAGCCCGAATATATCATTTGTTTTGAAATCCGACCCCAAAACGAGGTCAAATTCCCAAATAATCAAAAAGACCTAACTCTGCCCAATTCCCCAATTTTCTACCATTAAAACCCTAAGATTATTGATAAAAGTTGATGAAAAACATTAGATAATTGAAAGAAATCAGTTAGTGAGTGCTTACTTGTGATTTGGAAAGAAAATCTCTTGAGAAAATCGCCCTAGCTCTTCTATTTTTTTTTGTGAAAGTTTGAAAGAAAATCGCTGAAGTTATGTTTTTAAAAGGACTCTCTGCCCGACTTCCGCATCTGCGGCTTGTGGGTCGCATCTGCGCAACCGCACGTGCGGAAAAATGGGCGCTTCTGCGGAAATGGCTAGGCCCCGCTGGGGCGCACCTGCGAGAAAAGGGCCCGCTCCTACAAAACCGCATCTGCGGAAAAGTGTCCGCATCTGCGAGACTAGACCGCACCTGCAACCCACTGTGCGCACCTGCGAGTCCGCACCTGAGGCCAAAGAACCGCAGGTGCGGTTACACCAGAACTGGTGCAACAACATCATTTTCCTAAGTTTAAACATCCCGGAACCTACCCGGAACTCACCCGAGCCCTCTGGGCTCCAAACCAAACATGCGTAGTAACCCAAAAACATCATATGAACTTATCCGTGCGATCAAATCGCCAAAATAACCTCTCAAACAACGAATTAAACCTCAAAATCAAAGAATTTTTCTCAAACTTCATAAAGCATCAAATTTTCCATTTTAAGTCCGAATCACGTCAAACGGATTCCGTTTTTCACCAAATTTCACAGAATCATCTTAAATCATATATAAGACCTGTACCGGGCATCGGAACCAAAATACGGGCCCGATACCAACATGTTCTAATCAAATTTCATTTCAAAATCCTTTAAACAATTTCAGAAAATAAATTTCTTTAAAAATTCATTTCTCGGGCTTGGGACCTTGGAATTCGATTCCGGGCATACCGCCAAGTCCCATATTTTCCTTCAGACCCTCCGGGACCGTCAAATCTCGGGTCCGGGTCCGTTTACCAAAAATATTGACCGAAGTCAACTTAAATGCATTTTAAGTCAAAATTTCAATATTTCACAGATTTTTTCACATAACAGCTTTCCGCCTACACGCCCGGACTGCGCACGCAAATCGAAGTGAAGGTAAAAGAGGTTTTTAAAGCCTCGGAATGCAGAATTCATTTAAAACAAGTGATGAGCCTTTTGGGTCATCACATTCTCCACCTCTAAAACAATCGTTCGTCCTCGAATGGACAGAAGAAGGAAGTACCTGAGTCGGGAAATGACGAGGATAACGGCTCCGCATATCGGACTCGGACTCCCAGGTCGATGCCTCAGGAGGCTGACCCCTCCACTGAACACGAACAGAAGGAAAACTCTTCGATCTCAACTGACGAACCTGCTGGTCTAGAATAGCTACCGGCTCCTCCTCATAAGACAAGGCCTTGTCCAACTGGACAGTGCTGAAATCTAACACATGGGAGGGATCGCCGTGATACCTCGGAAGCATGGATACATGAAACACTGGATGTAGGGCTGATAAGCTCGGCGGTAATGCAAGTCTATAAGCCACCTCTCCCACTCGATCAAGAATCTCAAACGGGCCAATGAACCTAGGTCTAAGCTTGCCCTTTTTCCCAAATCTCATCACGCCCTTCATAGGCGACACTCGAAGCAATACCCGCTCGCCAACCATGAAAGCCAAATCTCGAACCTTGCGGTTGGAATAACTCTTTTTCCTGGACTGAGCTGAACGAAGCCTATCCTGAATGATCCTGACCTTGTCCAAGGCATCCTGAACCAGATCCCTACCCAACAACCGAGCCTCCCCCGGCTCAAACCATCCAACCGGAGACCGACACCGCCTACCATATAAGGCCTCATAAGGAGCCATCTGGATACTCGACTGGTAGCTGTTGTTGTAGGCGAACTCCGCTAAAGGTAAAAACTGATCCCACGAGCCTCCAAAGTCAATAACACAAGCCCAGAGTATATCCTCCAAAATCTAAATAGTCCGCTCGGACTGCCCGTCCGTCTGGGGATGAAATGCTGTGCTCAACTCAACCCGTGTGCCCAACTCTCGCTGAACTGCTCTCCGGAAATGCGAGGTAAACTGCGTACCTCGGTCCGAAATGATAGACACGGGCACACCATGAAGGCGAACAATCTCCCGAATGTAGATCTCAGCCAACCTCTCAGAAGAATAGGAGACTGCCACAGGAATGAAATGTGCTGACTTGGTCAGCCTATCAACAATGACCCATCTGCGTCGAACTTCTTCCGAGTCTGCGGGAGTCCAGTAACGAAGTCCATAGTGATCCGCCCCCACTTCCACTCGGGAAGCTCAATCCTCTGAAATAAATCACCAGGCCTCTGATGCTCGTACTTAACCTGCTGACAATTCAAACATCGAGCCACATATGCAACGATATCCTTCTTCATTCTCCGCCACCAATAATGCAGCCGCAAATCCTGATACATCTTCGCGGCGCCCGGATGAATAGAGTACCGGGATCTATGGGCCTCCTCTAAAATCAACTCTCGGAGCCCATCAACATTAGGCACACAAACTCGACCCTGCAATCTCAAAACTCCATCATCATCTAAGGTAACCTGCTTGGCACCTCCGTGCTGCACCGTGTCTCTAAGGACACATAAATGGGGATCATCATACTGCCAATCACGGATATGCTCCAATAATGAAGAACGGGTGACCGTGCAAGCTAAAACACGACTGGGCTCAGAAACATCCAGCCTCACGAACTGATTGGCCAAAGCCTGAACATCCAAAGCAAGCGGTCTCTCACCGACCGGAATATAAGCAAGACTGCCCATACTGGCTGACTTCCTACTCAAAGCATCGGCCACCACACTGGCCTTTCCCGGATGATATAAGATGGTGATATCATAATCTTTCAAAAACTCCAACCACCTCCTCTGCCTCAAATTCAACTCCTTTTGCTTGAACAAATACTGAAGACTCTTATGATCCGTAAATACCTCACATGCCACGCCATATAGATAATGCCTCCAAATCTTCAACGCGTGAACTATGGCTGCCAACTCCAAATCATGAACCAGATAATTCTTCTCATGAATCTTCAACTGCCGCGAAGCATAGGCAATGACCATGCCATCCTGCATTAACACTGCTCCAAGCCCAATACGAGATGCATCACAATAAACTGTATAAGGCCCTGAACCTGTGGGCAAAACCAACACCGGTGCTGTA